CCCCAAAACCCCAAAACCCCAAAACCCCAAAGTGATGCTTAAGTTTAAATTTATTAATTTTAAGAAATTAATAAGCTCATTAGAACTATCTTTTAACCTTGCTACTGTTACTTTATTTCTTCGGTTTATCTTCAGCGGAGGATAATGCATGATCTTAGGCTGGCTCATTATTTGGCCTGATTTTCTTGTATGATCTATCTTTATCATATTATCTGTTTTGCTCTACAAGACTGTCAGGCCTTAATCTCTTCTTATTGGCAGAAGTATTGCCTGAAACGGTATTATCTCTGACATTATCGCTCTCAGCACTTTTCTCCCTATTCATTCTTTTTACATCTCTAAATCTTTAACATAGACCAGGGTTTCTATAGAAATCAACTGTAACTTTTTACTACTAATTCCCAAGTAGTTGTTCCATAACATCTTTTTTTGCTTTTTGATCAGGTCTCTTGGCTATTTGATCGCCAACTCTGTTAGATAAACCTGTGAATTCTTGTTCCTTCTTTTTACTTTCTTTTTCCTAAAGAAATGTTGGGGAGTTATCTCTTTAGTCCTACTCCTTGATTTCTTTGAGCTTCTCAATCTAAGCTATTCTCCTACCTGCAGTCTCTCTGAGCCTATCAACTACATTTGCACCCTCAGGTAACTTAATGGTAAAATCATGTTCAGGTGGGAAAAAATTCTCTATTTCCTAGTTTACGTTGATTTGCTTGACGTTCACATTGAACCAGGTAATGTATTACAAATAAGTTGTCTAGTTCATATTTTAAAGCCATTCTTAATACTGATCCTAAAGCTCATCAATGTTAATAGAAGCTTGAGACAATTTATTAGGTGGCGAATGCATTCCATTTGCAGGCTTATGATTAGACTCTGGATTACTTAGCTATGATTAATTAGTCATCTCTTGATTTTCATTCTGACATCTGGGCTCTTGATTTTACTAATAGATATTGCTTGTTCTAGTTCTCTTCTCTAGAAGATCTAATAAATCCTATTAAGATGGATTGCTTGCATCATAAGGTTTTTACTATGACCTGAGTTTCCTTAATTCGTTCTAATTCAATGAGTTATCTATCCCATGGCCGATTGGGGGAGAGGGTAGTAGTATATTCTGCTGCGCGCCATCAATTTACTCCACATCTTACTGACTTCTTTAGAGAGACATAGGTATGCTATCATCCTACTAATTGCCATCAATTTAAGGAGCATCTTGAATGATCATTTGCATTTCCTCGTCAAACTTCTTGTCAAGGGATTCCTTCTCCCTAATATCTTATATCCTCTAGTACAATATTGTTTAGACATCCTTTATAAAATCTTCTTAATTATTGCTAGATTGGATATCATCTTAGTTGATATTCTCCACTGAATCAGTCTGCCTTTATTAACCCTCTTCATTAGAAAGGCTATCAAATGCCTAGCTATCTCCTTGGGAAATAGAATGAAATCCAGACTAAAAGTCCTTTAGAAGGGAGATCTGAATAAAATCATTATTCTTATAATCTTTTCTGGATGAAGGTAATGTTCTATTGTTCTGTCCGAATACCGAAAAATTGGGTAGAAATGACTGCTTGGAAGATTCAATGTCTAGTATTTGCCTTTACAATTGAGTCTAAAGAGTAATTGAATGGGAGGATAAGTTACCTTTTAAATCTCGAAAAGTCTTTTCTTAAGTAAACATTAAACATCCCAATCTTTGTGAATTAAAATTCTCTTCTACTTCTTCTTTGCATCAATTTGATTATTGACGAAAATGTTTGGCGGTAAAATAATTGAGCTTATTTTAAGTAAAACTTTTATCTTGTAGCTTTTAGTCACATTGCTATTCTTTCGAGGAGACATAGATAACGACAAGCTGGCATTGCCTATAATAAGTTAGATGTCACTCAATTCGGTTAGAAGTCTATTTTATGCTATAATTTGCTTGATCTTTTGCTAAACTTCATACGAGATTTCGCTTTCTATCAAGTATGATGAATCAGAGATTATGAGTTTATTTTCCATGAAATCTTTAATTTGAAAAAAATGTTTTGAATTGTCTAATTACAGCCTCTAAAAAACATGGGATAAGAAGCAAAAATTTACATTGACTGATGAATTTAGCAGCTTTTTACAGTAATACTTTAAGAATTCTCTTTCCATTGATTATTTTCTAAATCAATTTAAGTTATTAAAAATTATTTTTCAACCTTTAATAAAATAAATTTTTGCTTCACGGGGTTTTGGGGTTTTGGGGTTTTGGGG